GCAGATCCCCCAGGAAGCAGCCACATTGTAAACTTTACCTTTTAGCAAAATTAGAGCAGCCAGATTTTCTTCCAAGGTTAGAAAACATACTTCCTTGCACGAGACTCAGCTAAAGTTTTGTGTGCATATTTTATTCAAGATACCTCTCTTTAGATACTACAATCTCAAGAGAGCAGAAGACTTCTAACAGGAAAGTCAGCCCCTGCAGTGGGAGCAAATTCAAGCCCTGTCAAATCACAGCTCAATAGCACTGGATGAGTTTTCATAACCCCTCTGTACCTCGGTGTTCTCATCTGTAAAATGGGAACTATGATTCATCACAAGGCTCACTTAGAATTTTTTTTTTTTATTTGACAGGTAGAGTTATAGACTGTGACAGAGAGAGACAGAGAGAAAGGTCCTCCCTCTATTGGTTCACTCCCCAAATGGCTGCCACGGCCAGCGCTGTGCCAATCTAAAGCCAGGAGCCAGGTGCCTGCTCCCTGTCTCCCATGCAGGTGTAGGGTCCCAAGGACTTGAGCCATCCTCCACTGCCCTCCCGGGCCACAGCAGAGAGCTGGACTGAAAGAGGAGCAACTGGGACTAGAACCAGGCACCCATATGGAATGCTGGCACCGCAGGTGGAGGATTAACCAAATGAGCCACGGTGCCAGCCCTCACTTAGAATTATATTATGGCGAGTGATAGATGCTGTAACACCTTTCCTGACTGGGGCAAGGACATTCAGAAACAAATGGAACCTGGCTGAGAGAATGGGAGACTTGTAACCCAAGTGTATTCAGTGCACACCCCCACTTTGCACACAAGACTGTTTAAATCCTGCCGGTTCTCCACCACTACCACTTGTTCTTGATGAACTGCTGTATGAATTCAGACTCCATGAGGAGCAGGCACCAATAAGCAATCAGACATACAGGGGATTTATAGGGTCAGGGGTAGGGGGAACACATGTGAAAGACAAGGGGGAATGGGGGCAGGAGTGGGCAAGGAGAGTTTCCTGACCATGATGCTCATCAAATACCTGATCAAGGAGAGTGGGAAGGAAGGAAGACTGGCCAGGAAGTGGCTCAGACTCCAGTGCAGTTCTAAGAAAGTCTCAGCCAAGCCAGTGAGGAGTCCGCAGGCAAACAAAACACTGCTGGTCAGAGGACTCCCATGTCAGGCAGAAAAAGCCAGGCTGCAGCACCCCTGCCTGGCTCAGATGTTGGGTGCTAAGAGCCGGGGGAGAAAGGCCTTGGCACTTTTGGGTGTGAAAGCCCAGCAGCTGAGCCGTCCACAGCAGCGTCTACTGAAAAGAGACCTGGAAGGCTGACTTCAGTGGCTGCCACCATCCTGTGATTGCATGTATGTGGTTGAAAGGCACCCATCCACTGAACACTGGATGTCCACCAAACACTTCTGTTAGGCCTTCATTAAAAGACCATTGCTAGGAGTAAGGCACTGCTCTGGATACCTTTTGGGGACCAACCTGGAGGAAGCAACTGAGCCCAGTGATGGCCCTGGGGTGAAATCTACCCAAAGCGAAGGTAGGTGTGCTGTTGGTTGAACATGTCTGGGGATGGATACATTGAACCCTGCCTGCATTCCACATTTTCTGGGTGTGGAGTCTAATGCTGAACAACCTAACCTTTCCCATGAAGGCCAATTCACGTATGTAGGTATGTATGAGTATATGCATATGTATACATATATGTGCATGTATTATTTAGAGGCAACATTTCTTTCATTCTAGGAAAAAACAACCTTATTGGATGCCACAGAAACATATCTGTTTCCAGAATTACTTACTTTAATGAGTAGAAAAATGCTATTAAGATAATTGGCATTGCTTTTTAGCCACCAAAATAATAATATCCAGACTTCTTTGGGAAACATTAACAATAAGGCAACTTTCTAAGTTTTTCTTATGGAAATTAGATCACTGACCACACTCCCAAGTTGAACAGCTCCTGCTGGCCCTGCAGCCTGTGTGTTGACTGAATCATTCCTCTATACCAAGCACTGGGGAGGCACAAGGGACCCAAAACAGAAAGACAGCACCGAGGCTTGGGAATACAACTTGGTGGACAAAACTGAGGACAGAAGTGCTGAAATGTGCTTTAGTATTCAGGGAAGGGAACCACAGTGCTCATGCTAAGAGCAGTGATTACCTGGGCCCTCCAGACAGCCAGCTCTGCCATAGCAGGTTTGCTGCACACAGCCAACAATTTTTATTTTACAGAGATGGCACTGACAAGTTAAAGGGTGTGGGTTTTGGTGTCAGACTCTCAGGACTTAGTTTGTGTATGACTTGGACAATTTCCTGGACTTCATTTTCTTTGTCAGAGTCTGAAAAACAGAGATAACAGTACTTATCTTGTAAAGTATGCATTAAATTATGTATGTAAAGGGCAAAGTACAGTGATATAAAATGAAACATAGAAAGTAAACCTAGACATGTAAAAAGGAAATTTAAAATATTATTATTTTTTAAAAAATAATTTAGAGTTAGGACAAGTCCTCCTGAACAACCTTTTAAAAAATCCAGAAATCATAAAGGAAAAGTATAATAGATTTGAATACATAAAAATGATTACCATCTACATTCTAAAATACAGCATAAACAAAATTATTTAAAAACACATAACAGATGAGGATGGTAACAGTTGTGATGAATATAATTCACAAAGATTAATAGCTATTTTATTTAAGGTGTTCCTACTAATTAATAAGAAAAATACCCCTCCACCAAAAAATGACCAAATATCATATATCAGCAATTCACAGAACACTTACAAAGGCCATTAAAGGCCTAATGACATCCTCTGCTGAGCTGGTTCTTAAGGAGAACAATTTAAAACATTAAGGTCATTCCACTGTTTTCACCCACCAGAAGGACAAAATAGTTTAATATCGATAACAACTCTTATAGGCAAATATATGGGGAAATGAGTGATTTTCCATGCTGTTGTAGAAACCCTGAGTCACAGCGCCTGCAACTGTAGGAAGCTTTCCTGTTATGACTCCTGGATCCAAATATACAGGAAATACAACTTGGACCAATTTTATCAATAAGTAAATAAAATTATTACTATCTACAATTACCATTGTAAAGAGCTTGGCTATTTCTTGAATCTCAACATTGCCCATGTAGTTTGACTACAAGGTATGAATGCTGGGACCCTGGAACTCATATGTGGGCTTTTGCTATGGGCTCCTCTCTGTACATTGGCTTCATATTTCTCCTTTTTGGTGCTGAATAACTTTCTCCATTTGGTGGAAAAATGGAAATCAATGGATTCTGAGTTTTATGTCTTACAGCTTCAAACATTAGAAAGTATTGAACTATTGCACTGTACCCCACAGAAAGGTGCAAAAATTTCAAGTACGTACAAAATTTTGAAAAAAAATTAAAGGAAAGTGAATTCAAGTCTCAAGCTTTGCAAGTCTAAAAATCCTAGGGAAGGCACTCATTGGTCCTGATTATAGCCAATGAACACCATGGGCCAATAACTGATGATATGGGGGATGGGATTCTGTGATTGGCCCAGCTTGAATCTGGACTAATTCCAGACCCAAACCACAGTATGAAAAAATGAATTCACATTAGCATGGCAGCTCCCAGCAGAGAGATGAGGAAAGGCATAATACCCAGAAGGGAAACTCATTCCCAAAAGAAAAACATGCAAGCCAGACACAAAAGGGGTTAAAACACTCAATGTTAAGGCAGTCAATGTCCTATTTAACTAACTAGATAAAAGTTATCTTGGTATAGTTAAATAAAAGAGGTATTTAGCAATATCTATGAGTATATTAAATATATATAAACCTGTGTCCACTAATCCTACTTGTAGTCATTTATTATAAAAATTAGCATGCACATACCAAATGCATTAATTACTTTACAAATTTATTCATTGAATATTTGGTATATACTTTGTACCCTGTACTGTTCTGACAGCTGGAATCATAGCAGTAAGGAAAAAGAAAAGTTTCCTGCATTTACATTTGAGTGAGCATCAGAGATGATAAGGAAGTGATTGGCATGTAGCAAGTGCTTATCATTAAGCATTCTGTCCAATTTCAATTTCTAGATGTCACACAAACGTATTTTCTGTTTATGCTCAGGAGTTCTCAATATCTTCAAAGCTCCATTGTAATACAATATAAACTTGCAATCGAAAATGGTGTCAGGGTTTATCTAATGTTTATGGAATTGTACTCTTCACAAAGAGTTTTCACATCTACTATCATATTTCTCTCATGCACCAACACTGTGACTTAGGTAAAGGTATGCATTACCATTATTACTCTGGTCACTATTGACTCTTCAGAGCCAGGCAAGATGCAAGGTACAAAGTTGAAGGACTCGAAGAGGCTTGGCTAAGGACACAGTGCTACTTAGGTCGCAAAGAAAGGCATCTGCTCCAGCTCTGCTAGCTTAAACTCTCGGGCTTTCCCAGCTACAACGCATTTGCAAATTCTAGAATCTTCTAACAAGAGGTCCGGTACCTTGACTGTACTTTGAAGCTGCCGTTCCTTCTAGGTTTAAAGACGCTGAGGTGTGTTAGGTTTTTTTTACATCATTCAATATTTTGTCAATGGTAAATTCATAAAACAAGAACTGCTCTTGTAAAGTGAAACAAAGAGCAACTGAAGTGAAAAGTATAAAGATAGAAAGAAGTGTTGGTCACACCCAAACCAGAGCCTCGGGAGAGATCATGTTTTAATTTGGACCGCATATGTGTGATTTGAACAAGCCTCTCTGTAAAATGAGGTGATTACTCTAATTGAATAATCCCTCCTGGCTCCAAAATGTGATGATGTATCAACTTTTTTCAGCCACGCCTGTTCAATAATTGTGGACATCAATGGTTGTAATTTAGTTGACTCTGAAGGCAGGGATACACATTGCAAAACAAAGTCATTTGAGGCAGCTCTGTGAGCAATTGAGTGTTTTAGGCTCCACAAATTAGGTCGCAAACCTAATTATGACAAAGAACAAGTATTAATTCTGTTACCTGATGAAATGAGACAACAGAGGGGAATTTGAGCCCATATCACTAGTTGGAGAAGTCAGACTCATCAAATGCCATGACATGACTTTGCAGCTACTTAGATACAGGCAATGGATCAGACTGTGGAAAAGGAAAGCATTTTTGGGTTGAAGAACTGCTGACAGAAGCAATCCTTTGGTAGGCTATAAGACACTTAGGTGCATACTTCTAGATTACAAGGAACAGCAAACACATCATCTCCCACCTAATTTTCATGAAAACCTCCTGCAGTAGAAGGGAGGTGGGCATTGGAATATCATGAACCCTGGCTGAAAATTCTTGCCTATGTCCTGAATAACCCTGAGTAATCCATTTAAACTCTATAAACCCTAGGTTCTCAACAGGAATTAAAGTCCCTATTCCCTATTTTGCTATGACTGGCACCACCCAGAGGTGGGATATGGGTGGGGAAACACATTGCTACAGTTTAGCAAGGGTTGAGCTCTAGGCTACTCACTTGACCTTTGCTGATATGGATGGGGGAACAAAATAATTTCAGTACGTAGTGATTGGTTAGAGTTACATGGCTATTATCTAGTTTTCTGTGATGATAGGCTCCCCTTTTCCTAACCCTTTGACCAGATATCAGGCTTTTGTTGGAAATTTTTTAAAATATATATATATACCTTTAAGCATTTATAGGGTTCTAGTTTATCTGGGTCAAATTCTGGGATATACATGGCAAAAAGAAAACTCAAGGAGTTAGCCACCATATTAATCCTTTAGTTCAAAGTTTCCTAGGCAGCTTATTTTCTCCTCTCCAAATTTCAGACAATTTATGTTTGGTTTATCTATAACACCCAGGAATATTAGCTGTAATTATTGAAAGAATAATGGAAAATCATCTACTTCATCATGAAAGTGTAAGTTCTAAATATTTATCTTTAATAACATTTTATTATAACATTTTAGGAGACATTGAATATTGGGGCTGGCGCTGTAGTGCAGCAGGTAAAGCCACCACCTGTAGTGCCAGCATCCCATATGGGTGCAGGTTTGAGACTCGGCTGCTCCACTTCCAATCCAGCTTTCTGCTATGGCCTGGGAAAGCAATAAAGGATGGCCCAAGTCCTTGGGCCCCTGTACCCGCGTGGGAGAGCCAGAAGAAGCTCCTGGCTCCTGGCTTCGGATCGGCACAGCTCTGGCTGTGGCAGCTATTTGGGGAGAGAACCAGCAAATGGAAGACCTCTCTCTCTCTCTTTCTCTCTCTCTCTCTCTCTGCCTCTCCTTCTCTCTCTGTGTAACTCTGACTTTCAAATAAATAAATAAATCTTTAAAAAAGAGAGAGACATTGAGTAAAATGTTAAAGCTAGAAAAACATAATGCTTGTTAATATTACATGCAAATTAAGATAATTAGGTCATATTGGTCATATTCCGAACAAAAGCATGTACATGTTTAGTCAGCTACGCAAATTAAAAGGTGTTTCTATTTTTAAATAATTCCTATCCATTTATTTTTATTTTATTTGAAAGACAAGACAGAATGGGGGTGGGGGGAGACGGAGAGACAAAGACAGAGTGAGATCTTACATCTGCTGTTCACTCCCCAGTGCTCCACAGCAAGAGCTGGATCAGACCAAAGCCACAAGCCAGGATCTCAACGCATGTTTCCCATATGGACAGCAGGGATCCAACCACTGAGTCCTCACCTACCTGCTGCCTCCCACAGTGCACATTAAGAGGAAGACAGATCAGAAGCTGAGCCAGGGTGGAAACACACTGCTCTGATGTGGGATGCGGGCATCCCACGTAGGAACTTAACTGTCTCATCAAGCACTCATCCCAAAGGCTATTTTTGGTAGCCAAATATATAATTGCTTATGGGTATGTGATTGGAAGGCTCCAGGTAAGTCAGCCTTCCTTGAATAAATCCTCTCCCTGGTTAGGCTTAAGCTTTATCCTCGTAGCTTATGTTGGTAATACTTGTTGAAAGAAATATAGACATCCATGGAAAATATATGATTCTACTCTAAGCACCAATTGTGCTTCCTGAAAATACTCACCAGCAAAGAGGAAAATATACTTAATAGAACCAAATATATATGACAGTTCACTACATTCTCAAGCACACTCTTCCGGACATAGAGGGACACACATACAGAGTCACAGACATACTTCTTTGCAACACATATGTACATACGTACCTCAAACAACCAAATGAACAAACCAACAAAAAAGATCCAAATTAATGTCACTTCAGATTATAAATAATGTTTATTGTCAACTGTTTGGTGTGTTGAAAAAGACACAAAAGTTAGGTGCAACAACTTGGTTTCCTCTGATCTCTTTCAGCCATGTAGGAGCTAACTCACTACGTATTTATAAAGCACTTTCTATGTAACACGCGCCGCGCTATGGACCAGAGATAAGAATTCACACATCAGCTTTCTATGCTTTCTCTTATTTGATGACCCTTATCCTGAAAAGGATGTTTCTAAGAAATCAACGTTCTTTAAGGTAAATTTGTCAAACTATCAATTCTGAAAAATAAGGCGAAATATCTCCCTTTATTCCTCATACTTCATATTTCATAAATTGAGGCAGTAGGGACTGGAAATGTCAGTTTCTTTCCAACAGTCACATACCTAGAGTTGCACTGAGGTTTCAAATAGTGGATTCTGATGTCTAAACCCAGAATACTTTTCGGATCACACTTTGATGTCACTCCTGAGAGCAATTTCCCCTCAAAGACCTGAGCACCTTTGCTTAAGATCCCAGCTAATGATTATGGTAATTTTTCTAAGCCTTTCTACCAAACTAAAAAAACTCCACAGGGTGTGGGTCTTATAATTTTATACATCTGACCTTATTGAATTCCCCTTACTATTTGTTAATTTGAATGATCACAAGAGATTCAGAAAATTAAAAATACCACTGTTAATCAGCCTTGCTACCAGTCAGCATGCTTTGGCCCCTCCCTGGCTCTGTGATCTCAGTTACATGAGTAAAATTATTCTAGCCTAGGTGTCTTATTTGTAAAATGGGCATAATGATGCTTCCCTTACAGGGTTGTGATACAAACATAAAACACTCCACATTAAGGGTGCCCAGTTCCTAGGTCAGTGTTAGACCCTCCCTCCTCCTACTGGATAGAAAACTTCTTGGGAGCAGATACATCTCTTATTTAAAATCCATAGCACAGTGCTTTATACCTGTCTGGCATGAGGCAGAGATTTGTTGAATGAAGGGATAAAGGAATACAGAATGGTAGAATTGTTGTTAACTATTGGTATCACAGAATCTTTTATGTTACTAAGAGCAAGCTGATACAGTATTTTGGCTATATGGTGAATCTATACATGTCTTCTAGACCAAAATAAAATATGTATCATTAATCACACTGAGTCTTTTCACTTTAACATGCTTGCCCTATTATTTATTTTACCTTTTTCAGCTATACCGGCTCCCTGCTATCTGCCTTTATCCTTGCCTGTAAACTAATCAATCATTTGTGCATGCAATTAACATTTACTGAGCACTTACTGTCTACTTCAGACTAGGTTGCAAAGATTCATAGGACGGTCTCTTCCTCCAAAGGATTTATACACTACCAGGGAAAACCAACACATAAACAATTTATAATTAATGAAGGTGCTAGGATAGAAGTACAAAAAAGTGCTGTGGTTATAAGGTGATTCATTTTTCCCAGGAGTTTGCTTACAGGAGCTTAGGTGCTGGAAAGTGATTTTTCTCTTTGTAAACTAAATTGACTTACTGGTAGTAAAAATAGCTTCCATTTGTACAGTACTTTGGAAAGTGCTTTCACATCCATTTTTTTCTTTTAATCCTCATAATGGATGTTCTATACTTTAGTGATTTTCTTGAAAATATATTCATCAAAAACAGAGGTACAAGGCCAACTGGCGGATAATATGAAAATACATTCTAACGCCCATAGGTAAAGGATACAAGTTGGAACTGGAAACAATATTCTAGTGGAGCCTCACAGAAATCATTCCAAGAAGAGATAAAAACAAACACAAGTTCATTTCCCTTCATCTTCAATGCCATTTTCTTACTTCCAACCTGCCCCAACATCTTTCTCTTAGCTTATTGAAAAAACCTTCTAACCAGATTCCCTGATTTACATCTCATCTCCCTCTGGGCCATTTGCCACACTGGCCACAAAATGACCATTTTTAAATGTAAATCTGGCCACATGATTTTCCTGTTGAAAGCCATTTTAGTCTGTAGAGCTCCTCATTCCCTGTAGGGTAAAGCATAAATGCTTTTTCATAGTATACAAAACTCCTTATCATTGAAACTTATCAATGCTTCAAACTCTTTATTGTCATTTTATTCCAACCATACTCGTTTATTTTGAAAAAAAAAAAAAAACAAAAAAAAAAAAACAGACTATTTCCATTTCTGTACCTTTATAGTTGCAGTCATTGGCCTAGAATGCCCTTGGCTTTATCATTCCATTTGGTTAAATGATGGTGGACATAGAAAGTGTGGCTCTTTTTTGTTTATAAATAGACTCACTTAATAATAATAGCAGAATCTTGGCAACATCATTTTGGATCTTTTTCTCTCTTGTATCATTAATGCATAAAACAGAGTTTGGGAACAAACAGTCTAGCTTTTTCTCCTAAAATCTCAAGAAGAGAACACTGTTTCTTAATTGCATGTCAAAGATTCATGACATTTACATTCATTTAACAAAGAACAAGAATACATTGTGTTGTGAGAATGTTCTGTGCTATGTGCTAAAGGATCGGCTGAGGGTAAATCAACACAAGGCAGATAAGAATATATCATGGGTCTTACATTCAAATGAAATAGCTGATAAAATAATTAAATAAATCAAATCTTACGTATTGGTGACAAGTGCCATTAAGGAAATAAAGGATGGTCTGAGAAGGGAGTACTTTTTTCTAAAAAAAAAATGATAATGATAATGATTATTTATTTGAAGGGCAGAGATACAGAGAGAGAGAAGGAGAGAGTGGGAGTGAGATCTTTCATACACTGGTCACTCCCCAAAATGGACACAATGGTCAGGGCTGGGCCAGGCCCTAGCCAGAAGACAAAGCTCCTTCCAGGTCTTCCACATGGGTGGCAGGGGCCCAAGGAATT